TTAAGCTTTATGCTTCCTATCTTAGTATCTTTATATATTTGTTGAAAGTCCTGCGAACTTTCAAGGCGGGCAGGTTGGTCACGCGGATTTAGTAATGGGATGCTAGTGAATTATTGGGATGGCGCCACCTTTGGAGTTTGTTAGTTACTAATTACCGCGACTATCCAAAGCGTGGTTCTACCCGATCGATCACGCTTTACCGCTAGCTGCCTAGATGGCGGCACTTGTATATTGTGTGGTGCTTGAGCTTACGAAAAGCTACGTGAGCTTCGTCACCCCCTCCCGCCGCCCGCGTGCTTCCATCGCCGACGCCCGCACGACAGTCACTGGCAAGGTCTACAGGTGAGTGCAAGTTCTTTTAATTTATTGCCATTTTATTGCTGCTTCCGTGTAATCATTCGCCCGCCCGCTCGCTTATGTGTATTTAATTTATATCTTTAGTTTGATTACTAGCTTTTGTTTACCGCTATATAGTTTTACCGCTCCGCTAATTATAAGTGACAAACATTTGTCACATACCGCTTAGGACGGCTATTTACACGCCTTTCTACAACCCCGCTTTATATGCTCCCGCCGCAGGAGGGCTATTTACACGCCCCCTTGCTACCCCAATACTAATTGTATCATTACAACCTGGTTATTGTGTGATAACGAGGTTATGATGATATAACTTTCGTTGGTAATTAAAATTTTGCAAGCACTTGAATTAATAAACACTGGACGTAAAAAACGTTTACATTCACACACACACATATGTATGTATATGAGAATGATATGTCACTGCTGTAGTGCAGCGGTGGTGCGGCGGTAGTGCAGCGAACCCACTCTTATTAAACAGTCGCGGCTATTATATGGTGCGGCGGTGCTTCGGCGATTAAAATGCCGTGCAGCGGTGTTTCGGCGGTAGAGCAGCGAACCCACTTTTACGTAAGCAGTCGCGGCTACGGTGCGGCGGTGCTTCGGCGATCATAAAAAAATTCAAATCGTCACAGTCATAGTACGGCGGCGCTTCGGCGATTAAAATGCCGTGCGGCGGTGCTTCGGCGGTGTTTCGGCTAAATTCTGTTTTTACTCGGGAACTTGCTCCTGGAACGAATTAAGTTCGTTGTGTGAGGCACCACTATAGTATATGGTATTAGAAGAAGTTAACTTTATGTTTCAATATAGTTCACGTAATAAAAAGTTAAAACAACTGACTTCTAGACCTCAACCGTTCAACAATTTTCAGTTTTCAGATAAACACGTAATAAAAACCCCATTTCGTTAGTAACACACAGTGTTGTTACTAATTACCAGCCTGGCACAAGATCAAGGTAAAAACGTAGTGGTTATATACTCTTTGATAATTACGATCGTCTCACCTGTCAAAACTTAAGTCAGTCGCTCAATAAATGTTGTTGAAACCACACGCAGTTTTTCTTTACGGATACGCAAACCAAAGTGAACCCTATTTACATCATCACACAGCCTCAGTATAAATTCGGTATTCAAAAAAATGTTGCAACTACGTCAAATCAACCTTAACAGAAAAATAAATTTAAATTCCCGCTAGCAAACAAATAAAATTACCACAAACGCAACAATTCGGATATCGACCTCAGAATCAAACTCATTTTGGACCTTTGAACCAAAATCAATTTGGTTACAAACCAAACCTCTCCTTTCGCCTGTCAGCGCCCAAACTTTGGACGCAGTGTGGATTTCGTAAATCTATGTTGGCGTCCAAACTTTGGACGGTCGTCGTTCAATTATTAAACTACTAACAAACTGGTATAAAGTAACGAATAATATAGATTTCATTTTTTCTAACATATTTAAAACTGTATAGAATGAATGGGCCCTCTCTTTCACACGTTATTGAAGACAAAATAATTGATGGGATGTGTGACATTCTGCATAAAAAATCGATGTTTAACTATAATCGTTTTTTTTAATTTTAAATACCTTTTTTATATTTATATATTTTTATAATACCTTTTTTATATTTTACCTACCTTATTTTAAATACCTTTTTTATATTTATATATTTTTATGTATTTTTTTCTATTTTTTTAATTAATTTCAAAATAAACACCTTACATACTTTAAATTCATGGTTTTATTAATTAATAATAAACAACAGACATTATACAAACAAATTAAAGTTTTAGAATAATCAACATTGAAATTAAAATGATTTTCTTTCTTTCAACATAATGTATTTACAAAATCAAACTATTAAAAAAAAAAAAAACCGTATCCGTAGTTGAGAAATAACAGCTTAGGAAACCGTTTGGATAATATTCGACTACTGGTCTTGTTAAAATGGTGCCAACTTTCGAAAACAATAATTTTTTTTTATTGCCCTTGTAGGCTGACGAGCATACGGCCCACCTGATGGTGAGTGGTTACCGTCGCCCATGGACCTGAGCAATGCCATGGGCAGAGCCAAGCCGCTTGGCCGGTTTACACTTTGCGAAGTGTGAAGTAGTAAGTGTTAAGCGTTAACTTAACGCGATAAGTCTCAAGTGTTAAGTAGTCTTTTCCATCTCTGTTTAAACAGTGTTAAAAAGAAGAAGCTCAAAGTAGTGGTATTGTCCGTTGTGCATAGTGTCTCTAGAAATGGAAGATGAACAGCACTTAATATTGAGACGAATAATTAAAGAGATTGTAACTGTTGTGGTATCTAATATAGAAAATGAACTCAATTTTGAAACCAATAGGTCTAAGGCCCATAATATCAATCGTATTTTAAACTAAAATCGAAGATTTAAACTGTCACTGAAGATCAACTCGTAATTTCAATCAAAGTTAAACTGCCCTTCAGAGTTTAAACTATCGCAAAGTTTAAACGACCATGAGGGAGCGTTTAAACCATGAGTTGGGTTTAAACTGCTCTTTTTAAAATGGCTGCTCGAAATTAACAGCTGTTGTTTCCTGTCAAAGTAAATGTAATTTAAAGTTAGGGTCAGTAAATAGAGATAAGTATTAGTTAAAATTAAGTAAAAATTTAATTGTTAACAAAAGTAGGCATTTATAGTGTTATAAAATGGCTGAGTGGAATGAAGACACTGATTCTGATATTGAAGATTTAGAAATTCTCAATGACTTCAATTCGTATTTTAACAGACCTTATCTAGTCAGACCAAGAGAAAACAATTTCGTTAAGTGGGACGATACGGAGTTTATACGNTGTTAACAAAAGTAGGCATTTATAGTGTTATAAAATGGCTGAGTGGAATGAAGACACTGATTCTGATATTGAAGATTTAGAAATTCTCAATGACTTCAATTCGTATTTTAACAGACCTTATCTAGTCAGACCAAGAGAAAACAATTTCGTTAAGTGGGACGATACGGAGTTTATACGTCGTTTTCGTGTATCTAAGAATACAGCTTTTAAAATTTTAGAAGAAATCGCTAATGACATATCACACCCCACAAATCGGTAAGGCGGACTCTATTTACAGGACTTTTTTTAAAGTACCCATTAAATATATAGTATTGAGAATTATATTATATTACCTAATGTTTATTTGTACTGTAATGTTATTTGGTACTTTTTTATTGCAGGAATCATGCATTGTCAGCGTGTAACCAGTTATTATTAACCTTGCGTTATTATGCTACTGGATGCATGCAAATTACTGTTGGCGATTTCAGTGGTGTTCACCAAACGACAGCAGGAAAGGCTATTAAAAAAGTTACCGAAGCGATTGCATCAAGACGATGCCAATATATAATGCTGCAAGATTCTGAAGAAGACAAAAGGAAACATCAGAATGGATTCTACAATATGGCTAAGTTTCCTCTAGTGTATGGAGCCCTTGATTGTACTCATATACGGATTCAATCACCAGGTGGACAAAATGCAGAGTATTTTAGGAATAGAAAAGGCTATTTTTCCTTAAACACTCAGGCAGTTTGCAATTCAGACTTGAAATTTTCGAATATTGTGGCTAGATGGCCGGGGACAAGCCATGACAGTACCATTTTTCAAAATAGCAGACTCTGTGCTATTTTTGAATCAGGTCAGATGGGCCAACTAGTTCTTCTCGGTGATGCTGGATATCCGAACAAAAAATATCTATTGACACCTCTACAAAATCCTGTCACAGAAGCTGAGAAACTATACAATGAGTCTCATATACGAACTCGGAATTGTATAGAGAGGGCATTTGGCATATGGAAGAGACGGTTTCCAGTTTTGTCATTGGGAATTAAGACCAAAGTTGAACTGGTACAAGATATCATTGTTGCAACAGCCATTTTACACAACTTGTGTATCAAGCATAATGATGTCATGCCTAACTTAGATGTTAACTTAGAAAATATCATTGATGTAACTGGCAGTGATAACAACCAAGATACCACCCCCAGCAGCAATTACAGCAACAATAGTTATAGAAGGCAAATGTTAATTGACAATTACTTTAGTAGTTTACAATAGCTGAATTCCTTTTAAAAAAAGGAAAATCAAAATATAAAGTAAATTTACTACTATATTTGAACTATTGTCCTTTATATGTTTAATAAAACTAATTTTTAATATGAAATGAAAACAACCTCATCTTTTTTTATTACATTTAATTACACAGTTACAACAATTTACAATTACATATATATTTAATTACAACGCATTTTATCAATTAATTAAAACTATCGAGTACTTTTTTTTTAATATCAATTTCTAATTGTAGAAGTCTACATCTCAGTTCATGCTCCTTTACTTCTTGTTCTTGTTTTTTATTTAAATTGTCAATTTGTGCATCCAGTAATTTAATTTTTTTATTGGCCAAGGCACTATAATTGTTCATTGTTTTATTGAACACTTCTGGATTCTTTTTGGTGAGCGGTGTAGATATTTTTCTCTTTAATAGAAAATTACTGCTCTTTGGGGTTTCTGATTCATTAATTTTTTCATCAATCTAAGGCAAAGAAAACACAAATCAGTTTAATAAAAACAAATTTTAAAGTCCTTCCAGCTTCAGGCTTTCAGATTAAGAAAATGAAACACTTGTATGATTTGTGGTAGTAACAAGCAGGACGGTGGACCTCGTTCTGGCACACATTATGTCTTAACACTTTCTCACTAGCCTATAGACACAGGCCTACTGTGGTATATTCTGCAAAGCACTGTTCTTGTTAGGATTGGGAATAGGCAGATTTTTTTTATATAAAATTAATACACACCAGTATATTTTGGTTATTTTTTGCTGGAAGTGCTCTGTCTTGGCTGGTCTTGGCATATTTTTCCTTTGTTTCCTTTGTTATTACTATCTGTAAAAAGACAAAATTACACCAATTTACCATTTTTGTAAAATTCACATCATATTTTTGCTTAGAATAGAAAACAGTTCTGAAGTTCTGCTGTTCTTTTATTATTGGTGACTTTTGGTAAAGTATAGGTTTAATCAGTGGTCATTTGATTATAAGACAAATCGAGATAGATATAATTAGAAGCTACTCATACATACCTCATCACAGTCATTGCGAGATGGTAATCCCATCACACTGGTCCCAGATAACCCCATTACCACTTCCTCTTCTTGACTGAAATTAATTTCAGCGGATGGTCCACCCCCTGTTCCATACAAACTTCTCCGAAAAGTACTATATTTGGTCTTGGCCCTCTTTTTTATATTTTCATACTTTGCGCGAAGAGTCTTGTCACTTCTGAACACAAATGACGACAAACTGTTGAATTCTTTGGCCAGCTTTGACCAAGTTTGCTCCTTCAGCTGATTATTTGTCATATCACTTTTTTTATTTTCCAATATATGGCCATATTATCTCACCAAGCTTGTGAGCAATTCTGTTTCCGATTTTGAAAAATTGGGAACGCGTGTTTTATTTTCGACGGACATAACGAATTATTGAATTTTATTTGGAAAAACGATGCAACTGTCAAATAATATATAATAATAAAGCCTGTTTATTTCCAATCCATACCTGTCAAATACAGATGTGTAATTTTAGCTTGGGATTGTTAAAAGATTGAAAAGAATGAACGGATCACAAAATGTTGCCACACGTCATAACATTGTCACAGTTCAGCTGATCTCTGTTTGTTTTTGTATTGATATTACGAAAGTAGTTTAATCTATGGATCAAAATTGAACGAAGTTTTGTTGATCCTTAGTTTAAACCCTGAATGATATTATGGGCCTAAGAGATTATGGCAAAGAAAATGGATAACCACACGTTCTCAGTATGCAGCCAGCAATAAACTTTTTGAAGAAATTGCTAAGGAAGATTCTGCTGAATTTTACAGATCAATGCGAATGACAGAAACGCAATTTGAAGAGTTGCTGACGCACGTTGAGCCCGCCATAAAAAAATCTGATACTTTTATGAGGAGTGCACTCACGCCAAAAATAAAACTTCAGATAGTGTTGTATCTTCTTGCCACTGGTTGTAGTCTGCGTACTTTGTCACATTTATTCAGAGTATCTAAACCAACAATAAGTTTAATGATACCGATAGTCTGCGATGCTGTATACAACGCCTTAAAAGATTATATAAAGGTTAGTAAAACACATTAACAAATATTTTATATCGGTTTTATTTTTAGAAATATAATTTCAAACATAAAATTGTATTGGAATGTTGTAAATTCCTTATGCAGATTCCCAAGCTTGGGTTAACACATCATTTATATCAACAACAGAAGTAAATGCATTTTCAGAATTTGACTGATTTGTCACAACAGTTGTATTTGTATTTTCAAGATTTCCATAACTCAATGTGGCATTATCATTGTATGTATCATCGTTGCTCGAATAATAAGAATTTCTAGAAATTGTTGAAGCTGGAGGAGACGACATAAAATGTGGTTGTGTTCTGTTTTCTACCATTTCATAAATGAAATTCGATGTTTGAGACTGACGGCGGATATGTTTCAAGCGCAAACCAGAAAGATAATTTTGAATATACTGTCGTGCTTCAATTGCTGACTCCATTGGTAAATTTTTGAATTGAACTGCAACCATTCGTCCAAATAAGTCGAATTCATTCTCTGATACAACACAGCTGTTGACACTGTTGGCTACATTCTGGGCCTTTGTCAGTAAGTTATAACTGTCTCGTAGCATCGTCCTTTTCCAAGGATTTTTCCCTTTGAATGACTGGCCCGAGTCATTGCTTGAGGTTCCGACTCCTGAAGTATTTTCAACAGCCTTCTCGCCTTCAGTGTCTCTTGTCTCAACATTATCTTCATTGATTTTATCTTGAGACTCCAGGTTCTGTAAATACATAACATGACATTAATAAATATATTTATTATTTGTTGCAGATTCCTAGAAGTACAGAAGAATGGAATAGTATTGAAGAAGGATTCAGTCAAAAATGGAACTTTCCCGGTTGCTGTGGTGCATTAGACGGTAAACACGTCGTACTGAATGCACCAGATGATTCTAGAAGTTATTATTACAATTACAAGAACCAGCACAGCATCTCGTTCTTTTGGGATTAGTAGACCATGATTATTGTTTTATTTATTTTGAAATTGGATGCAATGGACGAATCAGTGATGGAGGAGTTTTCCAAAACTGCAGCTTGAGCCACGCTCTAGAGAATAATTTTCTACCACCAAACCGTGTGATTGTTGCAGATAATGCTTTACCATTGAAAACGTACCTTATGAATTCATACGGAGGAAATAATTTATCTCATAAGCAAAAAGTGTTCAACTACAGATTATCACGGGCCAGACGGATAGTTGAAAATGCCTTCGGAATATTAGTGTGTACATTTAGAATATTTCTGAAACCCCTCCCATATGCTCCCGCTAAAGCTGATAAAATAGTTAGAACGTGTGTTGCTTTGCACAATTGGCCTAGAAAAACGCAAGGTACGCAATTCAAAGTGTAACAGTTGATACAGAAAACATCGAAACGGGGAACTTCACACCTGGTTCCTGGAGAGAGTTTCTAGCAGCAGGTATAGTAAACATTGAAAGAATTTTGCAAAATAGATGATCACAACAAGCTCACAATGTACGAGATCGCTATGCAGATTATTTTGTTGGTGAAGGCTCAGTACCCTGGCAGGCAAGAATAGTACATTAATAGCAATCGGTTTTAGTACAATTTCCTACCTAGTAAGTTAGCATATAAGATACTATAAATAAATGTATTCTAAATAATTTTGTGTTTTCTTTCACCCTCTCGCTATCGGTCGGCCCCTGCCTATTGAAGTTACTATAAATTCTAAGCTTTCTTTGCCTACCCGTAGTGCGGTGAAAAAACATTTACTGCTGTAGCGGACGGTTTCTTATTTAGATATTTATACTTTCTTTGGATTTGTGAGGAGGAAGATTTTTACAATAAAATAAAATAAAATTATGATGCAACTTTCATGGCTGACAGTTTATTCTTAATGACTTTTGAAACAAAATTATAAAAATATAAATGACAGCTGTTGCTTTGCAACTAAACTTTTTACTGCGGTTCCAAACAACTGCCTTTAGGGCATCATCCATCACTTTGTACCATTTGAAATTTGACACATATATATCATCAAGCCCTGCACCCAATTCAATAAAGTCTTTTAATTTTTTGTACTCTTGGGAGAAGGTCGATTTCAAGCTTCGTGTTTTGTTGTACGCTTCTTTGGGACCGAAGTCGGGAATTTCCATCTCTTCACTCAGTTTCAATAGGGCCGCATCTCTCAACTGTTTGATTTTAAATTCTGCGCACTTTACATTGTATAGAAATTCATACTTTATGTATTCTTGTACGAATTTTAAAGTATGTTGTTCCGTCCACTTCATTTTCGCTTTGAACTTGACACTGCGCACTCAACACACACGTGTTTACACACTGATTAGTACAGGCGAACTGCGAGAGAGGGGAGTAGAATAGTACAAGGGGGGAGGTCACTTAACAGAAAAAATATACCTTGATTCTATTCACTCGCACTAATCAATAAGCACTAATCGCACTTAACACTAATCACTTCACGCTTCCGTTCACACCTTGATTACTAACCTGCACTAATCACCTGCAGTGTTAACTTAACAAAGTATAAACCGGCCATAAGTAAAATGTTTCATTAATCGAAGGGCTGCATAAGATTTTTACGAGCATAAACTTGTTGCTGCACTTCCGTAATAAAAGATCTTGTAGAGACTGCAGTAGAGGACATTTCCAAAACTATATTTATATGGTTACTGATCAAGCGTGCTTTTTTTATCAAATCTCTTCTTTAATAAATCAATGGCTTGCTTCTATGAATCATTAACATGCGGTAAATTAATTAAGACTGCTAAAGGATCGTCGGTTAAGTACTTCCTCAAATGAAATAACCTTTGAACATCAAGTGAATTGTTGTTATTAAAAAATGCAGTAAATATATCCATGAAGGGAGTGTATCTTGTAAAATCTTTGCCAGAAAACACTACAATATCAATATTAAGCAACTTAGAAGATGTAATATTTAGATACTTAGAAATTTCTTTTTGAGTTATACTCTTTAACTTGAACCAAGCTTGGATATCTAATATATAAAATTCTCGTGTCACGGTGTGCGTGATTGAACTCCTCCGAAACGGCTCGACCGATTTTCGTGAATCTTAGCGTAGCAGTTTGCGATACCTACGAGACTGTGAATTATCCAATTGAGTTCTTAAATTCATTGGATTTGCCAGTCATGCCACCACATCATTTACAATTGAAGGTTGGATCTCCGATATACTGGTTCGTAACTTAAACTCACCAAGGCTATGTAATGGCACACGATTAGTCATTAAAAAATTAATGAAGAACGTTATTGAAGCCATCATCTTGAATGGCCAGTTTCAAGGCGAAAATGTGTTGTTGCCACGAATCCCTATAATTCTTACAGATATGCCAATTGAATTCAAACGCACTCAATTCCCAATTACATTGGCATTCGCTATGACGATCAATAAGTCACAAGGACAAACATTGTCTGTATGTGGCTTAGATTTGGAAACACCGCGCTTTTCCCACGGACAACTATATGTGGCATGTTCTCGCGTGGGAAAACCATCCAGTTTGTGTTGGCTAAAGACGGACTAACCAAGAATATTGTACACTCTATTGCGCTGAGAGATTTTTTTTTTAAATGCCCTTAGTGATAGTAAAAATATGAATAATTATTTTTGATGTTTAGATACCTATCAAAGATTGTAATTTAAAATGTATTCGTTACTTTAATAAAGATTTATTTATTAACCTAAATAAAACATACTTTTATTCTTTATAACGCTTTCGGATTATAAATATATCCCCGCTCACTTATAGTAGATAGTTATTTTTATTGATCTAAAAAAATGTTTCCTAGAAATAACATGCATGGCAAAATAACGTTTGCCGGGTCATCTAGTAATAATATAATACTTCTCGTCCAATTGCTCAACACTTTCCGCATCATTTGGATCAAGGAACAGAACATTACCAAGCCGCTGCATACATTCGGTAGGCAGCAGCTTGGCTCTGCCCCTGGCATTGCTGAAGTCCATGGGTGACGGTAACCATTCACCATCAGGTATGCTCGTCCACGTACAAGGGCAAAAAAATCTAACTGCACTCTCTCATAGTCTTTCATTATACTAACAAACTTGTCCTTACGGGCAGTTAACATTACTACAGTTGAGGAAGTAAGATTCAAAGGATTGTTAATAAAGTTTCCAATCCGTGTTACAGTACCCTTAAGCTGTCCACGCTTCAGGCAAAGCCTTTTCAGGTTTTCCGCTATGGTTTACTGTTAAACCACGTAACTGGCCACTGACCTAGCAAGATTTTACCGAAGTTTGAAGACGAAAACACAAATGTAATGAAATTCGCGTTGTTAGTTTGCACCCGCCGACGATCGTACAGCTGTCACCGTGGACAACCACTCGCAGCGCAGATGAAACGAAATGCTCGCGCTCTAGCTAGTGCTGAGCTAACGGCCTCACGTTGCTGCGTACTTTGGAACGTAACTCATCGCTCGGGCTCGACCGACCGTTGTATGTAGAAAATGTAATACCTATATATGACCGTGCAATAAAATTGCAAATTTGGAGAGGAATCTTTCGATATTCTTGTACAACTGTGTTTTTTTTTATGCGAACTGTCGCAGATTGGCGACCAGAAATAATGGTTGACACGCCAAAACTTCACTCACGAAAATCGGAGATTTGCACAGTAAAACAGCCAACTTGCTGGTTATTATGTCAAAATAATTTTATTATAATTTATTTAATTACAATTTGGCAGAAACGGAGAAGGAATTGTCATGAGTAATTTTTTTTTTATTTTTTTTATTGCTTAGATGGCTAACGAGCTCACAGCCCACCTGGTATTAAGTGGTTACTGGAGCCCATAGACATCTACAACGTAAATGGGTCACCCACCCTGAGATACAAGTTCTAAGATCTCAGTATAGTTACAACGGCTGCCCTACCCTTCAGACCGAAACGCATTACTGCTTCACGGCAGAAATAGGCGGAAAATTAGCTAACTTAGTTAGGACTTAGGTGTTACCATTACAATTTTACAATAAAATTCTAATCTTCTTATTTTGATTGAACACAGATCAATATTTTAATTAACTTCAACAAAATTATTACAGAAGACGTGTATTTTAGTAACAAATGTAAAAATTTCGACCTCAAAGATATGAAGACACCCAAGCGTATAAATATTGGATTCGACACAGACGGGGCTTGCGCAACACAATGGCCGCTGTTAATCTAATATGGTAAAGGCTTTTGAATTTCATATAAAAAAAAAAAACTGTCCTACAACTAAGCTATCTGCTTCTTCAAAAACAATAATCTAATTGATGTCAGATTTTCATCAGGAAAAGTTGAGTTAGTTAAGTCCCCAGTCTTATCTGCAAATCTTATTGCTAGGTCTGGTATACTATTCCTTTTTAGATGATAGTATCTTGACGACGGCCCTCCCCTGCAGTTCCGCAGCTAGTTGATTAATGTCTTTGTTACATGGTTCTCATTGTTTTGCTTTGAAACAGTTCCAGTATTTCTACATTACTGTGACTGGCAGTGCCCCATACCTGTATGCCATATGTATACATACAGGCTTCAGTGAATTTTTGTATATTGTAATATTTTTTGAATGAATTTGATTTTGTTGTTTTGGTTATTTGATTTTTTTTATATTTTATACCAGAGATTGGATTCTTCACATAAGCCTACTTCTAGAACGAAAAATCAATGGATTTAAATCTAATCAGAATCGGGTAAAATCTCCATTGATTGTTTAAATTCAAAATTATACGAAACCACCATCAATGGAACAGGATCACTAATATCCCTGAAAACTGCATCGGTTACTGTAAAAGCATGACCCAGAGCTTGTACCCAAATCTCTAACTATAACCTCACTCATTATTAGCTATTCCCCACCATACCATGAGCGAGGATGGAAAATGACCTCGTTGGACACGCGGAATACGGTTGCTCGCTTCTTCACTACTGTGTGCGTACACCTTATCATTTTGTTTGTTGTAGCTCTCTTCTACGGTAAAAAATTTTTCATCCGAAAAAAGAATTTCCCGATATTTTTTTCCCGCGTACCGCTTCAACAAAGCGCGGCATCTCTTNGAGTTGAGAGGGCTTCTGATCCCCCAACTCCATCTCGCTAAGCAATTTTTGAAATTGTCTCATCTCCGATTCTTCATAGATTTTTAACAAACGTTCTTTCAGCGTATCAAATTTCTTCTCATCAGGTGGTTTTAATAGAATGTCACTGACCTGTTGTACGACGTCCTTGCCTAATTTAGTAACAACTAGGTTGTATCGGGCCTCATCACATAACTTCTGCGGTGCTAGGATAGCTTCACATTGCACGTACCATAAGCGTGGTTGGTCGCACCAAAACTCAGGAATCCTCGAAGTTACAGAAACAACGGCTACTTCTGCTTCAACTGAAGTCATTTTATTACAAATCGGTTCTTAAAAACGTATCTTGATATCGAGCGGCGTCTATGTTCTCGTTCGGGGTCACCACTGTGTTGTGTATATTTACTTTATGTTTATGTAGCCGTTCAAATGGTGTGAGCGAGTGTTGTTTAATAAACAAGCGATAGTGTTCTGTGGACACGTCCTTTATTTACAATGATACAGACAATACTGACGTGAAGTGACGTGCTGTAGGCAC